TTCCCATATCAGAATATATTAGGGTAATAGGAGGGACAATTGCCTTGTGGATCTCATTAACCCAATGCCCTCTGGGGCATCCTATTTGCATCAGCTAACTACAACTTTACGGTGCCTGAAGACATCCGTGTGGGCAGCCCCCTGGGCTCTCTGTTTGTTGAGGACCCAGACGAACCCCAGCACCGAATGACCAAGTACAGCATCGTGCAGGGAGAGTTCAGGGACACCTTCACCATCCAGACGGACCCCACCCACAACGAGGGCATCATCAAGCCCACAAAGGTTTGCAGGCCGGGGGCAATGGGGACAGATGTGGGGTTGGGGGCTCCCAGCATCTCCAGAACTCACCCAGGGTGGCTAGCAGGTCAGAGGCCATCAGAGATGCACTCTGGTCAGCTTGGAGCTAGCCATGTGCTCACGGACACTGGGACGGCGGAGCGAGGAGAGAAGGATCGGTGCCTTAGGCTGGGTCATGCCTGAAGCAGACCGTGAGGCAAGGATTTGGTGTAAACAGTTTACGTGGGAGGTGATCCCAGGAAGCCCCAGCAGCAGTGACAGGAGAAAAGGAGGAAGATGAATCGGCTTCTGGAAGGGTGAGTAGGAGAGTACAGTGGGGCCTTGACTTACGAGTTTAATTCGTTCCGAGACCGAGCTCGTTAAGGAGCTCGTTAACTCAAATTACTCTATCAACTCAATGCAAAAAATCGGCCGAGAGACAGCTGGTATCTCAAAAACTCGTTAGTCGGACACTCATAAGTCAAGGCCCCACTGTATTTTGTACCTATTTCGCTTCCCTCTGGGCTGTAAGCACCTGGCAGAGCTGACACAGCTCTGAGCTCGGCCGGTGCTGAAGGAGTTAGCGCCGAGTGAGTGAGTGAGTGGTTTCCGGGCCTGTCCGCGGTTCCGTCCGTGGCCGAAGCCGGCCCTGGGCCCCCATCCCACAGTGTGACCTCGGGCCCAGCCCCGGACTCACACTGGGCTGGCGGTAACAGGTGCCTCGACGCCACGTTCCCAATTCCTGAAGACGCAGGTTCTGCTGGCACAGGGCCCTCCCGATCGGCGAGGTGGCCCTGTCACCTACGGACCCCAAGGTGGCCCAGTGCCGGCCCCGAGCGAGGCCACCAGCAGGAGGCGTAGGCGGACCAGGTCTGGCCCAGAGCAGCCTGGCTCCCCAGGGGGGTCCTGGGCCAGGCAGGGGCATCGGAATGACACTGCTCACTGCCCCGCCGTCCCTCACGCTGCCACCCTCCCTCCTGCACAGGCCCTGGGCGCGGCCCAGACCCAAGGCCCCGGTGCCCTGGGTCTGTGAGAAGTGCCCGATCTCGGGTCCCGCTCCAGACCTCGAGCCCCGCCCCCGGGACCCGTGTGACAGGCAAGTCCGGAGGCTCCGCCCTGGGGACCGAGGGGAGAGGACACACTGCCCGCTTGGGGCCCTGCACTTGTTGGTGTGAGTGCTGGACGCCCACCTCTGCCTTCGAACTTGCACAGTGAAGGCGTTCATCCCGCTCTTTCTGGCGCAAGGACAGAAGCAGACCTCCAGGAGGCAGGCTTCGGTGACAGGCTGACAGCCACCAGGGTCAGGCCGCGGCCTGTGGGCAATGGGGGATGCTAGACCGGCTGGGCCACTTTATCAGGGCTCAGGCCTGAGAGCCGCCAGGAAAACAGAGGCCTGGCTGG